AAAACAAAACAAAACAACAACAACAACAAACAAACAAACAAACAAAACAAAAAAAACGCCTTAAGTAAAACAGTAATTTATCATGTTTTAATCAGTTTTTAGAGAGCTTAATTAACTAAAAGATTAGTGCGCGCGTGTTAGTTTGTGTGTGTGTGTGTGTGTGTGTGTGTGTGTGTGTGTGTGTGCTTTCTGGTGTTCTCTACACGTTCGTTTTTCATCGTGTTTGGAAGAAAAGGGATAAAAGTAGCATCGGAGCATAGTAGTAGAGGCCATAATTATTGTGATGCTATACGTTTGAGGTGGGGTGACACGACTGTCCTGGGGTGACGAAAAAGAAGTGTTCATTCCAGATGTTCCTGTTACCTCTAGTTGGGTCTTACTGCAGACTTTATTCAAATTAGCTTGTTGGTTGCGGATCATTCACAATGGAGTGAAATAACTAAAGACATGACGGCCATGTTGGTTGATAAAACAAAAGAATTAATTGACTATTCTTTGTTTTGATCCAATCAAGATGGCGGCTATGACGTCATGTGCAAACCAAGAATATGACGTAGGCATGATGACGTCATTTGACTTCCACTGTATCAAGATGCATTGCGAATTGTCTTTTCCAATCTAATTTGTATTTCTTCATGAGAATAATAAGACAATTGGTGCTAATTAAGTGTACAAAAAGAAAAGTGTGCAAGGAATATAATTTTAATATAGTAAGTGCAGTAAGATTTAATTATGAAATTTGTGGGGAGGTTTACTCCAATTTTATCGACCTTTCGACGTCATCAGGTGGTCAAATTTTTTTTTCGGTTCGTAAAATTACTTCCTTTGAAGGTATTCACTTTGCAATTACTTAGGGTCTATGCAAAAATGTTTTTCTACAGATCGAACATTCGCCTTCGTCCCGGCGTGAGTTTTCAACGCATGCATTCTTCATTCAAAGAATAATTATTTAACCTATGAGCAACTCTGATCAATCACTAAACCAACTTGTTTATCTTAAATCGGAACAGATTTGCCACAATCAGACCCGATCGGTCGTCGAAACCTGACTCCTGACCCGCTTGCAGAAAGCTTTGCCAGACCTGACTTGCATGGCTCAATTATAGGCCATTTCACGGATCCCGTTACTCAACCTCAGCCTCGTCAGCGTGTAATTATTCTTTAGAATTTGACTACAGTCCGCAGTAATGAAAGGAATTTACACATCAACGAACAATTGAAACACTTAAAAATTTCACAGGTTGTAGACAATTTCTAAAGAATATATTACACGCTGACGAGGCTGAGGTTGAGTAACGGGATCTGTGAAATGGTCTATTATCACAGCGCAAAAACCAGTTAAAGAGCGATATAAATCTCTCTTTTCCAAAGTTTAAAGACATGCTTCTTAGTAGATTTACTGAACCGAATGAGAATCCCTAAACAAAAAAATGTTGTACAAAAAAAAAAAAAAAAGAAAAAAAAGCTCTCGTTCCAATGGTTCCTCGTCGTACATTTTGCTTTGTCGCGTGCGATACCGACAGAGAAGCGAGAGAGCCTCTGACCCGCAGGATAACAACTAAAATACATAAACATACACAAAAAAATTAACAAAAAGATAAAACATACTAAACTAAAATGATAAAATCTCATGCATCGTTTTTTTTTTCATTCAGAGCAAATACTGTCCTCAATATGATCAACATTGATATGTTCCCATGATCCACTGCCCCCGTCCACAATCCTTATCTTAGCCACGTTGCCMTGGTATTTTGCAACATCAAAAGAACTTGGTCTCATGGTTTCACTATTTGTTGCAGAGGTGGTCAATGAAGTGGCTTTCGCAACGACATTTCCACCAATCAGGAGCTCGATATGTCAGATCCTCCTCCAATCAGAAACTTAATCTTCATACCTCGGATGATAAAGGGGGGGTGACGTCATGGTACCTGTAGGTGGATCTTTTTGAGTAGAGCCAGCTGAATGAGAGGGACTGGGTCGGTTTTCAAATGTACCTATCCACCATTCGCCTCTGAGGTTTGAGGCTATGGCGCTTCGAACCAGGCTGTTGTCACCGTACGTTGGTTGGTTATTGAAGGCTGTTCCTGTAAGAGTCCAGTCAGCTATGCCATTTTCAAAGTCGAAAAGGACGCACCCTACAAAAAGAGAAAGACAAATGATCTAAGGCAGGGCACGACCAAACTACAGATCGAATCCTGAAACAACCTTGATAAGAGCTTTTCTAAGTCAGCACGCGACTAACTAACATTATTCCCATTGATTAGCGTGCTTCCATTGAGTGGCAGGTGCATGTGAGAAGCGTATGAGTTGCACCCCTCCCCCCTCAGGTTCAATGTTGGCATCACCCAGGATCCTTCGCGGGATTGGGGTCGAAGGCAGAGAAAATAAAGCAGAAGCACATGGTTGTAAAAATAGTGTGTCAATCATTAATCTTTACGAGTTTAATTAAGCCCAACACTCGCTGCGAGAGGGCAACACATGTAACTATTTACGCAAATGTAAATATGTGCTGTGTTTTATAGTTACTCTGCTACATTATAACTTTTCATTGTTTGGTACGTTTAATAAAATGGCTCATTGTATACTTTACTCAGTGCAGACACGATAAACCGTGACCACCTGAACAAAATTTAAGATAACAAAGATTTTAGCCCGCAATAGATCTCTTGCAGCACGTCGGAATGCATGAAGCTCAATTTGGAGGGTAAAACAATAGGTTTTCAATTCTCAGAAAATTACTGAATTTATTTGGCTTTGTTCTCCAATTTGAGCTGCTTTGATGTCCCATGCAAGGATTCTATAGGGAGATAGCAAAATGTGTATCATATAATTGACCTTCGACAATCACAATCAACATTCCCGTGGTTGTTGATAACAGTCTAAGTTGAATTTTCTCAGATATCTATAGTTTTCATTGTTCGTTCCAGTTTGACTAGAGTTTGAACGCTTTTTCCCCGCAATCTATGTCGTGATTGGTTAACTTTCTTTAAGTGGTCCCGGCCCGGTTAGTGTGTCTGCACAGTAAAATGAGTATAGTTGATACCCTGAGTGCTATACTCACCTGCTTTTTCACAATTCTTTCCTGTGAAGTTCTTACTGCAGTTGCACATGTATGGCTGTCCTCCGATGTTTGCTATGCATTCTCCACCGTTCTTACAAGGGTTTGGCCAGCAAGCTGCGGTCTATACGAGATAAAAAATGTGAGAAAAGTAACGAACGAACGAACGACGGTCACAGCTGAAAATTATTTGCAATTGTAAACACCTGCGTCGGTTGACTATAGGTAGGCGTGCTGTTTACATTTCCACTAAATCGCGTCTCGGTAAATATTCCCCGATATTCACTTCGCCTTCGGCGAATAATTGCTAAATAGATATAGATAGATATACACTGATAGAATATTTCGCTTAAATGGGACATTATTTAGTTAACTTTGCATCCACACTTGCCCCTTCGAAACGTTTGTTAGCCATTAATGAGAGTTCAAACTTACCAATAACCTCATGCTGTAAGAGTTTGCTCTTGGTTTCAGATATCTGTGAAAAGCCGTTCCTCCCCAATTCAGAAGCTCACATTGTATCTGACTTGGTCCATTAAAGWACAAGTTGATGGAGAGACATTGCTCTTGTTTCACACATTCAAGCAAACAATCACTTTCGTCTTGGGTCGTGAAATTACTTAAGGAAGTTCCATTCTTTTCAAAGATTTTGTCAACTTGCATTTTTTGATAATTACCAAAGACAAAATTGCCTTTCCTGTTGACTTGTGCGTTAGTTTGATAGCCTTTATACGCTAAGATGAAGAAAACTGCGAATAGAACAGCATTGAACGACATGTCGTACGTTTTGATTTGAACTCTTTGAATCATAAAGATTCAGTGCAATTACTGAGAATAGTATTCATTCTTATTACCACATACGGCTCACAATAACTAACTCATAAATGATTAATAAAAACATCCGTTTTTGAATAATTTAATTGTTTATTTCCCTATACTTAGATGCCTAGACTGCTAAGCTTTATTTATATTAATGGTGAGGCTATATATCAAAATAAGGGGTTTTTTACCCTCTGGTTACCCCCAAAAGACGCAAAGGATTATAGGGATGTGAAATTCGAGAATAAAAGGCCAAGAAACTTAACGAATAGGTTTCGCTATAAAATGTTAATGAGAATGGTGGCACTTTCTTTTAATCGCAATTTTAAAATATCCATTACATGATTAGTGACCATGCAAAGTTTGAGAAGAAAGTTTTGTTTTGCCGACATTTCTTTCAAGGGAATTCCAAACAAGGATTAAGTCTATCAGAGTGAAGTCATTAAACCCGTGTAATAGATATTAGACAAATACCCACTAGTAGACCCTAATTTCATTGTTTTCTTTTGTATTTGACTATTAGATGTGCAAAGTACGTGTAGAATAAAACACCATAGAAATAATCTATAAAAACATACTTTTTACATATTGGCGACTAAGCGAAATCACAAAAACATAATATAATATATTGTCATCATAATATTAGAGTTGAATTAAAGATTTTTTCAAGCAAGTTGATAAATACAAAAGATTAGGAAATTATTGACTTTGATTAGTACTACGAGTACTAGATGACACTAGGAAGGGAGTTCCATATTTTTGGCCCAAATACACACGAGCACGATGAATTGTTTAATGTTTGTATGACAGTGTCGTGATCTGAAATTGTGAGAAATTCTAGTGTTCTAATGATGAATTTGATTACTTGTGGAAAAGAAATTAGTAATGAAGGTAGTCAAGGTAGTCAAGGTAGTCAAGGTAGTCAAGGTAGTCAAGGTAGTCAAGGTAGTCAAGGTAGTCAAGGTAGTCAAGGTAGTCAAGGTAGTAACAATGCGTTTTTGTAGTAAAAATATTCTGTTGAGGCTTGAAGGATAAGGGCCTGGGAATAAAGAAACCAAAATCTAAATTTTCAGTCCTCTCGCGTTAGGTTGCTAAAGATAACTCGCATGAGAGTTAGAGCTGCTTGTTTTTTTTTCATTCAGAGCAAATACTGTCCTCAATATGATCAACATTGATATGTTCCCATGATCCACTGCCCCCGTCCACAATCCTTATCTTAGC